CATCCTGCCTTGTATCAACGGTTCAGGCTGGTGGTGGTGGTTTCATGGTGTGGGGAATCTTTTCTTGGCACTCTTTGGGCCCCTTGGTACCAATTGARCATCGTTGCAACGCCACAGCCTACCTGAGTATTGTTGCTGACCATGTCCATCCCTTTATAACCACAAAACCGTTACTAGCGTGGTGTACCTAATAAAGTGGCCGGTGAGTGTACATTTCCTGTGAAAATGCTAGTGTGAATGCTTCATGCTGAAAACTTAAACTGAAAGCTGTTGAAATTGAGCTGGAAATATTTAATAGTAATAGTGTTAATGTGAGCACACTTCGAAAAGCTGAAAGAAACAAAAAAAAAGACTAACTTTGCGGAAAAACAGTAAAAAGGAGCACAAAGCTAAGAGCTAAAATTGCTAAACATAGCTGAAAACATCTGCAAGAAGCATAAATAGCACTAAGTCGCAGAAAAAGGTATAAAAAGTAAAATAAAGCAATAGCATAGCAGAAAGAAGCAGATCTACAGCTAAATTAGCATAAATAAGCTAAAATTAGCATAGAATAGGCTAAAGRTAGCAGCCACAAGTTGAAATTAGCACCCAGATAGAGAAAGTGTTGTAAAAATTGTAAAACTAGCAGAAGAATTGCACATGAGTACAAAAAAGTGACAATTAGTAGTAAAATGACCAAAGCAGCTGAAAGTTTCAGTAAAACAGCTAAAAAGTAGCTGGAATAACCAGGCATAACCAGGAGCACAAGTTTGCTGAAGTTTTCAGAAAAAAGTTTTAATAGCWACAAAAAAAATGCGTATTTAGCTTAGAAAAGCTAACTTAAGCTAATAGCAGCTAAACATTAGCAAAAATTTCAGCAAATAGCCGAATATAGCAGAAAGCATCTTTAAGAAGCAGAAACAGCAGAAATCAGCAGAAAAAGTAGAAAAAAGCAGAATAGCAGAAAGAAGCAGAATTTTAGCTGAAATAGCAAAAACATAGCTAAAATTAGCACACAAATGTGAAAAAGAGCATAACCAGAGAAAAATGTGTGTAAGGTTCGGTAAATATTTAGAAACATTTCAAAGGAGTTTARGGACGTTGAAAACAGCTCCATTCATTTTCAATGGCAAAAAAGTGGCTGAAAAAGTGTAAAAAGCTGAAATACTAAAAGTCATAGCACCCCTCACATGAATGAGCTGAACGTTTTGATAAATGAATTGGTGAAATAGCACAAAAATTGTGGAACAAGTTAGATGCTGAAAAACGTACGGGAAAAAGCATATGAAGCATTCACACAATTAAATGGCACTGCAAAATAAAACGCCTCACAAAACATGAAAAGTAACTTTTTTTACTCTGAAAACTGGATCAAATGAAGCAACTTGCTTTTAATTTATAAAGAATTGTTTTTTCACAGTTTTTATTACAGGAAGTTGTTCCTTGTATCATCAAGCTTTCGAGGAAATCTGGTCTGGTTAGGGTTTGTAAAATCCTATTGTCATCAACAATCACACGTCTCTGTCCCGTTCTTGAGTAGAATGAGGGATAATTAATCCAAACTGAGTGTACTCACTCTCTCCCCACGTTCTCCCTTTGGCCCCACAGGGCCCTGCAACCCTGGAGCTCCAGGTTTCCCCTGCATTCAGCCAAACAAAAAAATCGAAATCACAAAGATACAGATAAATCTCTTCGTGTTCATGTCACCATTAAGTTGTGAACAGGCTTACATTCTGTCCTGATGGGCCAGGAGGTCCAACTGGGCCTCTGGGACCTGGGGGTCCTGTGTGTTAGATGGATACAGAGTCATTAGTTCTATATGATGAAAACCTCTGAGCTCAGTCCAACAACAGGACAGGAAGTGCTCATCAGTGTAGCTTTGTGTTTGGACACAAATAAACCTTTGTGCATTTAAAAGCACAAAATTAGGAGGTCACAAACTTCTGATTAAAAATATAAACTACGCATTTGATTAGAGAAAAAATGTGTTGGGGAAAATTCGGTGAAATGTATAAGAGCAGTGTATGAAAATCATTTTCACTTTTAGGATGTTTGCAGCTAACAGATATTTTCCAGCACCAACCATCATGTGAACAATAAGCACTCACCGATAGGCCCCGGAGGACCCTGGGGTCCAGGAACAGGCAAACCTCTTGAGTCATGGAAGGTGTTGGTGAAGAAGGGGTCTTTCCCACGATCTGGAGTCGAAACAATAGATGTGTTTAAGCTACTCTCCTGATTGAAATGGAACAAATGAGGCAAAAGCTGTGATTATAATAATTTGACAGATGATTATATGAACCAACAATGATGATATTTTAATAGAAGTTAAATATCATGATGTTTAAGAATAAAGCTAAACGTAGCACTTTGCTTGCTTTGAACAACATGCAATGTTGTATTTTAAGATAAAGTGGTCCTTGTGTTTTTGCAGATGTTTCACTGTGTCTAATAATTTAGTTTAATTTCTTTATAAACATAAAATGTAACCCACCCTTGAAGCTGCCTTGGACAAAAAGCTCCGTACGTTTTTTTGAAAACAGAAAATTCACTAGAGGGCAGTGTTTTCTAAAAATCAAAATATTCTCATCAAAATGAAAAAAAAAAAATCAGAGCTGGACAGTTATTATTGGCCGCTGCTAAAGGCAAAGGGGCGGTAATGTTTTTAACTTGTGTCTGTGTGTGCCTGTTTGTCTGTCCGTTAGCAAAATATCTCTCTAACCACTGGATAGATTTGAATGAAACTTGGAGAAAGTCATCATTGCGTGGACATCTTTTGTAGTTATTACTTTAGTTTAAGATGGCACCACAGGCTACTCAGCCTTAACTAACACAAAAATGTCTCTAACTCAGCCGGTTTTACAGACACTGAGCTAAAGTTTGCCATGGTAGTAGCTGAGAGTCATTCCCAGCACATATTACTCCAACAGCTGGTGCGTCAACAGCATAACAAGAGTAAGTGGCGAACTCGAGGAAGTGTGCAGCTGTTGGGTCACTGTGACAGGAAACGCAGACCCAATATAGACGAGGAGGAAGTGGAAGAGGAAGAGGAAGATGATGACGATGAGGAAGAGGATTGACAGGTATGAACACTCTCCTGCTTCCTGTAGTGACCGGACACCAACAGATCAAGCAGCACAGCTTCAAACAGTGTTTAATGTTGTAAGCTGAGCACGCTGAGAGCTGAACTTCAGCTTTACATCAAAATAAGCAGAAACACTGAAATATTCCCACACAGTCCTCCTCCTCCGTCCTGACGCAGACGCAGCGGCCAGACAATTCAGTGTTTTCAAAAGGAAGCTCATTGCAGACCCACCCCAACTTATGTTCCCCCCACTGTTACTTTGATGYGAAAGAAATAGCCCGCAGACTCGGAAACCATCGTGCCAACCTCAGCGCCCCCGCGGCTCTCCACAGCGGAACCCGGAGCTTACAAATCTGTGCGCCGCATACTTTGTTTTACCACTGAATCCGTGTGTAAAACCCGCCCATGTGCTGACCTTGAAAGAGCCGGGGAAGGCCTCCCATCTGTCTCCCACTCCCCACCTCAGCTGTCTGAGATGCCTACATCTGGAAGCTGTTGAGTGACATCAGCGGTGGACAGGTTCTCATCCCAGGATATGAAGTCTGCATCAACGTAACGACCTCTGCATCCGTTTAATTCGGATTCTGCTCCACGTCGTTGGTGGGCAACGAGGAGCGAGGAGCAGTCAAGAAATTGAAAGTTGTCTTTTTTTTTTTTTTTTTTTTTTTAGATCTTTTCTGTCTTTGCTGTAGAGTTTTAAGGGTTAAGCTGAAAGTTTTCAAAAAATGCAACTCCCTGCTTGCAATGAAATGCCCAGATAAGGATGTAAACAAGTTTAACTGATTTTGGCTTGACGTGCGGTCTCACTGTGTGAATTACTTCACCATAAAAAACCCTTTCATTAAAGGAGGAGGTGGGGAAGTGGTTGTCAGACAAGTGTACTCATTATTGGATTTTTTTACACTATGGATAAGTTTCAAAACTATAAAAAATTCTAACACAGACTTATTGTGCAGCTTTTAAAGGAGACATATACACACACAAAAAACAATAAGTGGTGCTTTCTATTTGTTAAAAATCAAAAGCTGATGAAATAAGGTCTTAAAGCTATAGGAAAAACAATAAAAGGAAGCAAAATATTAGAATGGTATTTTGATAAAATTATGCACAGTACTGAAGTGTAAAGTGCCTCTGACGTCAAATTTTTGTAATACATGTGAATGCATTTTTAGAAAGAGGACATATATAAAATATTGCAAAAGAAATTTCATGTTGCTGAGATGAACAGTTGTTGAGAACTTTGCCTGGGAAGTAACAGGAAGTGATGTCAAAGGGGAATGTCTGCATGTGAACAGTGTTGCTACAACAGCCAACAACCCAGACTGTAGAGAAGAATCTGATGTTTCTTAAGATTCTTTCAAAAGATTCTTTCAAAATTTTTGAGTCTCTATCAGAGAGATGAAGAAGTTTCAGAGTTCAGATAATATTGTTTCAATAAACAAAGACCAGAGAGGTTTATATTTTTTGTTAGAGTTCCTCTTTGATGTCACTTCCTGTTTCACTTTGTCTGAGCCAAGTTCAAAAGAAAATATGCCAGTTATGGGACAAAATGGATTAAAAATGTGTGTATTATTTCAACTTTCTTAAATATAAAGATGTTTTCTTTGACTTTTTGTATTTGAAGAATATGCATGTCACAGGCACTTTAAAGCTCTAACGGCTGTGAATATTTTTTCTCAAAAACATTAGGAAGTTATTACAGAGATTTAGAATAAATACAAAATAAAAGTACTTTTTTGTTTGTTATGAAATATTCTCATTGAGTTTGTAAGAAGTGTTACTGCTGTGGGTCTTACTGTGGTCTGGTTCTGGGATGCGGGCGCTGGCTGGCGCTGGTGGGCCTGGTGGGCCGGGTGGACCAGGCAGGCCTGGGAGACCTCTCTCTCCTGGGAGTCCTGGTGGACCACGAGGGCCTGAAAGATTAGATGAAAGATGAATAAGCCCTGTAGTGTAGTGACAGATATGCTGCACACCATGTTCAAACCAGCATAGTCCTGAATGGAGATTGAAACTACGACAACCATCAGTGAGGGAAAATATTAGAGAAAGTGCTGACGTAACATAAGTGTCTGATTAGGTGGACGTCATGTGGAGTAAAAGGGATGAAGCAGTGGGGGAGTGTGTGAAGCGACTGACTTTGTTTCTCTGTAATTAACAGGAGGGTCATTAATGGTCTGCTGCTGGAAACTCTGTGACCCAGAGCAACTCAAATAAACAGAGTTAAACTCTGCATGATGTTACTGGCATGCGTTAAATTAAATATTCCGTGCATGCATGCCACCTGTTTCTGTGTTTTTATCCATAAAAAAAACCCCTGAGGCGGTCAGGAAAGTGTCCCTCTAACCTCTTTTTGTAATTCATTTAAAGGTATTAAAAAATCTCATTTCGTCATTTAACCTGTCTGAGATCACCCCACCCCTGTCAAATCAACACTCAGCACCTTTCCATTTTTTTCTCTAATGAACCTCACAATAACCTTTGCCAAAGCATTGCATCACAGCTCACTATGTTGAAGCCATCCACAGCACAGTGGGTCACATAAATGTCCCAACTGGCCCTTTAAAGTTTCTGCAACATATAAGAGAAAACAGCCAAATCTATGCAAAACTATGACAAAATACAAGCAGATATTTGCAACACAAAGTTAACCTTTCTCCCATATTTGACTCATTTTTATAGAACACTGGTCATATTCCTTTCCTGTGTTTATCTTTTGCTTCAGATTGAAAAGAAAATCAGCACAATAGGAAAATCTCAGCACTGCTTTTGGATACATATGAAGTAATGGAGAGAGARAAAAAAACAGAAACACTGCAGACATATGGAAATCATAATGAGCTGGGATTTGTATAAGGCCCAAGCTTTTTTTTWWATTTTTTTATAACTGAAGTCACACAGAGCTTCTCAGAAAGTGGTTTTGTAGTTCAAGTTTCGATCTAAAGCTCATTTTTACATGGCGCAAGGTTCACATGTTGGGCTGATACGGAGCAGAGGAATAACCCAGGATAGCAGGAGCAGATGTGACGTACTGCATCACTCTCCATTTACTTTGTTCATCACTGACATTCAAGCTGACGGCAGATTTACTACTGTATTTGCTTCAACAGGTCATTCATTATTTGTACATAAGCAGTGAGTTTATTATTCGGTTTCTGTTTTGGCTGATGATGGCGGGCAACAAGGCACAAGTATTTAAAAAAGATTACTTTTAGAAACATATGATTTTAAATGCAGGCCAATAAAATGCAAATTCCATGTGAGTGACCAGTAAACCTCAAAGGCCACTGGAATGCTCAGGCTTTGACCACTGCAGGGTCTGTGAATGACTGAGAGCTTTAAGTAAAAAACAAACAGTCAGGACATCTCAGGTCACATCTCTGTCCTTTCCACTGATCTTTCTTTAGTAAGCCATTCAAACGTCTTCTTCTTCAGACAACAATGTAAGTATGCACATATTGGCAAACTGTGTAAACAGCCAGCAGGACAGAGTTCATTTGATCTAGTCTTCTGACCGTCAATAATCATCATGGTGAATCATCTCTTACCTACTGGTCCTGAGGGTCCCTTAGAGCCAGGAGTTCCAGATGGACCCCTTGCCCCAGTTTCCCCCTGGGGCCCGTTGGGACCTGGCAGTCCTCGAGACCCTGGCTTTCCTACAAGTAAAAAAAAAGAAAGAAAAAAAATCATGATGAGTAATCATGAAGCACTAACTGGTTTACAACTTGAATGGTTTGACATCAGCTGAATCACAATCACGTCTCACCGTCTCTGCCAGGAAGCCCATCTCTCCCCTTTTCACCCTGAGGTCCTGAAATGAAACAAGAGAATAGTCTTAATTAGGAGGTTTACATCTGTGGGGGGAAAAAATCTGAACTCAAACCACCTGGAGATGAAACTGGGTAAAATATAGTCAAGGATAAAAAGTGTTTTTATTCAAGTAAAAGAGCTTTAAATGCTGCTTTTGCTGCATTTAGGTCAATTTTAGGGAAAACTGGAAATTCATTTCTAAAATGATAAACACTTGTAACAACAAAAACAGCAAAAACYTTTTCGGTTTTCATCAGTTAGTGCTCATAGCATGTTAGATATGACTCTCTCARCTACTTCCACTTGTAGCTCAATCTTTGTAAAACAGAAAGTTAAACTAATTTTTATGTTTGCAAAAGTCAATAAGTTGTGGCGGCCACCTTGAATTGRGCTGATTATTTTTATGAGAGTTTTAACAAAATGCCTCCAGGTAGTCAAATGTGTGCAATGAAGTGAAGGTGGCTCGCTTAGCAAAAATAAACCTCTGAACTTAAATGATTTATTTTCATTAGCTTGAAATTTTAATTCAGGCACAACATGGGCTACCTGCAGGTCCCTGCTCTCCAGGAGCACCCTGAGCTGGAGCTGACCCCATCAGCAGCGACGCCTGTGGAGCGGCTCCTCCTTTACTCTGAAGGTGGCGATGGGAAATGGCGGCTGGTGCTGCCAGTAGCTGCACCTGAGACCATAAAGTAAGTGCAGGTCATTTAATGGTACGGAGGATTAAAGTGGACCCAACGCTCAGCTGTTCTTCACCTTYGCCTCCAGTGAGTTCAGCCTCTCGCTCAAAGCTGTGATTCGACTGCAGTTGAGACAATCTGAGAAACAGAGAATAGTTTTGGTTACTTGCAGGAATCAGGTATATAGGCACACTTTGGTCTTTTTATGTCAAATAAAGGTTGTAACATGTTCTTACTTGAGATAGGCTCTCCTGAGCGTGCAGAGGGACGCCGCAGAGTAGAGGGGCTCCTCACTGCCTCCTGAGCTACAAGCTGGTTCCCTCCATCTGTGATAAAGATAAAGATACAAGTAAATAAGCGGCTTGGATTTTAAACTGTTCAGATTCCTTCAGCTATATAACATAATCAATACATTCATGAGTTTTTTTTTGTGAAAAGGCAGCATCTTATAGAAAATGCAACCAATGTGAACTTCAAACTGCAGTTAACCTGTTGGCCAGCAGGGGGCGAATAATTCTCACTAAAACTTTGAAGTTTGCAAAAGTTCCTAATAAGCTAATGGTCCTAATTTATACTCAGGAAACAGCAATCCTGTTCTAAATTAATTAAGAGCAAATTATATTTAAAGAAAAAATTATATAAATAAGGTTAACAGGACGCTTTACTAAGTGCATTCACAGCATTCTTGGATCTCATTCTGATTCACCGCCAACTCTGATTTTGTAGATTCAAAACACCACAGCTGTGACTTTTGGTTTTAAGATAGATGTTTCCAAACCAGTGGGTGACATAAGGTGACATTTTCCCACCCAGTCTTTGATTTCTTATGAGCAACAAAAGATAAAAAAAAAACTGAAATAGTAATTTCAAATTCCAACAGTGAATTGAACACTTGGATGTATTCCAGATAAATGAGTTTTCAAAATTACATTACATAGAAAAGAGATTAGTTTAGTCTTTAATTCATTACAAAAAAAATTGATTCCAAAGCACATCTAACTTTTAAGAAGACATCAAATGTTTGCAAGTGTGTAAAAATCAAAATATCCATCTGATGATTTGGAGGCTAAAGACAGCGTTGAAACTGTTTGTCCTTCAGGTAAGCTCTTCACTATTAACCAGTCAGCTGACAAACTGAGTGTGGAGAAGAGAGAAGTTGAAATTATTTCTGCATGTTTTAGCTTTTATTTTTGCCATCTGGTGTGAGCAACATCTTTGCTTTCCTAAACCATTTTCTCCTTTATGAAGTTTCTCTGGGCAGGGAGGCACATAGAGACAAAACAATAGTTTCTTTGTGTGAGGAGAACGGGCAGTCTCGGCTCACATTCTGTCTTCCTTTCATTTTATGAAGTGTGGGAGTTTGAGTCTCGAGGTTCTGGATGTTTTGAATGGGCAGACTTCAGTGGAAACGCTAGACTGACTCTATTGTCTGAGCCTGGCCTGGCTGTGGTTGGCCCAGGTGCTCCTAAAACAAATAAGGGGCTGGGGTTCAGCACCTCATTAGCTACCAAGACACATGTCTTTCCTTTCAGTGGCCAGCAGCCACAGCTATGCCAAGTGCTCGAGTAAAAAAAAAAAAAAAAGGCATAAAATAGCACCTGTAATGTAGAGTTGAGGCAGCTTCAGATGTTATTCTCTGCTGCAGAACCCAGCGGGCAAATCATCATGAAGAGATGTAAACATTTTTGGAACGTAAGATGTCTCAGAATAATGGTTGAGCATTTACCCAAACCGTGGAGGAAGAGAAAGCAAAGACGAACAAAAGAAATTTCCCAAAACACATGGTTTCTAGTAAACTGAGCCTGCTCCAATTATTCTCCTCCCTAAACCTTCTGTGTTCATGTGCTCATGGTTGGGGGCATTTCTCCAAGGATTACGTGTGCAGAAATTCTAAAACCATGTACAACCCGAGACTGAAATGTTATGGCATGAGCTCAGCATGTCCTCTCTCGCGTGTTTCAATACCACTCCAAACTTTGGACAGAGAAGAGCACACGCTTCAGTCCGCGCAAAGACAAAAGGGATGTGTGTACGTTTGCACGTGTGCAAGCACATCCTGCAGAGTTTTCCTGCAGAGTTCAGGTCGTGTCGCAGTCAGGTCGACTGCTTTCAGCTATTTATAAAAAAAAAGGGAGGCTCCGGGTAGAAAATATATACCTCCTGATACCAGCACCTCTTCTCCCTCTTGAAATAAAGAGCTTTCAAGATTCGCTCACTCAGTGTTGAGCTTTTGTGTGAAGCATTAATCCGGATTTGGAGCAGAAACAGCCACCCCCCACGTCCACTCACACACCTCACACACTTTCCATCATGGAACAGCAAGACTCCTGCTTTTGTTGCACCTCATGTGACACAATCAGCTAAGTGTGAGTCCTGTGGTGTGTGTGTGTGTGTGTGTGTGTGTGTGTGTGTGTGTGTGTGTGTGTG